TCGGCGGCGCTGCTGTGGGGCCCAGCGGGGCGAGCGGCGCGGGGTCGGCGATGGCGGCGTCCACTGGGGTCGGTTTGGTGGTGGCCGGCGTCTTGCCGGTGCCCAACGTGGTCAACGCGGTGCCCGGCGGGGTCAACTCGACGCCCAACGGGGTCACCGGGGTCAACGTGGTGCCCAGTGGGGTCAACTCAACGCCCAATGGGGTCAACGTGGTCAATTCTGCACCCAATGGGGTCAACGTGGTCAATTCTGCACCCAATGGGGTCAATGCGGCACCCAACGTGGTCAACGTGGTCAACGCGGCGCCCAGTAGGGTCAACATGGCGCCTAATGGCGTTAATATGGCCAACTCGGCGCCCGGCGGGGCCAACATGGTCAACGCGGCACCCAGCAGGGTCGGTGCGGCACCCAACGGGGCCACCGTAGTCAACATGGCGCCCAGCGGGGACAACGCGGCGCCCAATGGGGTCGACCCAACGGCCGCCAATGGGGTCAACGCGGCGCCCAACGGAGCGGCCCCGACGCCCGCCGGCCTCGGCCTGGCGCCCAACGCAGCGCTCGTGGTGCCCAGCCTCCTCCCCGCGCCCCCCGGCGGCTCCCCGGCGCTGAGCGGCGTCATCCCGACTCCGTCCGGTGTCATCCTGGCGCCGGGCGGCTTCGCTTTGGCTCCTCCCGGCGCAGCGGCGGCGGCTCCGCCTCCCGTCGCGTCCCCCGACGGCCCGTTCACGTGCTCGCTGTGCTGGAAGGCGTTCAAGAAGCCCAGCCACCTGCAGCAGCACCAAATCATCCACACCGGGGAGAAGCCGTTCAGCTGCTCCGTCTGCTCCAAGAGCTTCAACCGGCGCGAGAGCCTCACGCGGCACGGCAAGACCCACGCGGGGCCGCTGCGCCTGCCGTGCGCCGTGTGCGGCAAGGAGTTCCGCGACGCGGCCTACCTGCTGCGGCACCAGGCGGCGCACAGCGGGCAGCGGCCCGACTACCGGTGCGAGGTGTGCGGGAAGGGCTACGCGGCGCCGCAGAGCTTGCTGCGGCACCGGCAGGCGCACGGCGCGGCCGAGGCGGCGTCGCCCGCATCAGCTCCGTCAGCGGGGCCGTTTCCCGGCGGCGGCAAAGGCGCGGCGCTCGTTTTCTCGCAGGACGGCGGCGCTTTCCCGGCGCCGGGGCGGAGCTTCGGCTGCGCCGTGTGCGGGCGGGCCTTCGGGCGCCGCGAGACGCTGAAGCGGCACGAGAGGATCCACACCGGGGAGAAGCCGCACCAGTGCGCCGTGTGCGGGAAGCGCTTCCGCGAGTCGTTCCACCTGAGCAAGCACCACGTGGTGCACACGCGCGAGCGGCCCTACAAGTGCGAGCTGTGCGGCAAGGCCTTCGGCTACCCGCAGAGCCTCACCCGCCACAAGCAGATCCACCGCCTGCCGCTGCCCTGCGGCCTGAGCGCGGCGCCCGGCGCCCAGGGCCCGAGCTACGGCTGCGGCGAGTGCGGGCAGCGCTTCGCCGACCTGTTCCGCGCCGTCAGCCACAAGGAGGCGCACGTGGCCGAGAAGCCGTACGGCTGCGAGGCGTGCGGGAAGGCGTTCGGCCTGCTGGAGAACCTGATGTGGCACAAGCTGGCGCACCAGGCCGCGCCCGAGGCGGCGGACGGCGCCGAGCCGCCGCCGGTGGTGCCGAGCGGGGAGCGCTTCACGTGCGGGACGTGCGGGCAGAGCTTCAAGCGCTTCCTGGCGCTGGTGACCCACAAGTACGTGCACCTGGTGCGGCGGGCGCCGGGCTGCGCCGTGTGCGGGCAGCGCTTCGCCGGCGCCTACGACCTGCTGCTGCACCGGCGGCGCCACCTGCGCAAGCGGCACTTCGGCTGCTCCGTGTGCGGGAAGCGCTTCTGGGAGGCCGCGCTGCTCATGCGCCACCAGCGCTGCCACACGGAGGAGCGGCCGTTCCGCTGCGGCGTCTGCGGCCGCGGCTTCCAGCGCTCGTGGTACCTGCGGCAGCACAAGGTGGTGCACACCGGGGAGCGCGCCTACAAGTGCGCGCTGTGCGCCAAGCGCTTCGCGCAGTCCTCCAGCCTGGCCGAGCACCAGCGGCTGCACGGCGCCGCGCGGCCGCAGCGCTGCCACACGTGCGGCAAGACGTTCCGCTACCGCTCCAACCTGCTGGAGCACCGCCGCGTGCACCTGGGCGAGAAGGTCTACCGCTGCGAGCGCTGCCCCAAGAGCTTCTTCTACCTCTCGTCCATCCTGCGGCACCAGCGGGCGCACGAGGCGCGCCGGGAGCTGCGCTGCGCCACCTGCATGAAGCTCTTCAAGGACCCGCGCTACTTCAGCAAACACCTCCAGGCGCACCGCGGCGGGCGGCCCTTCAAGTGCGGCACCTGCGGCGAGGGCTTCCGCAGCGCCTACGGCCTCAAGAAGCACCGGCACGGGCACAAGGTGCAGAGCGGGGCGGCGGAGGGGCAGCAGGAGGGATGAGCGGGGAGATGGGGAGGGGGCACAG